ACACACACACACACACACACACACACACACACACAAATACGTATTACTGGTATGCAACAGTTAAAGTGACAAATCTCCCATATTCATGGATTGGAAGACTCAAGATAACAAAAATGGCCATATTACCCAAAGCAATATACAGATTTAATGCAATAACCATCAAAATCCCAATGGCATTTTTTACAGAAATAGAACAAAAAAATCATCAGATTTGTATGGAATCACAAAGACACCAAACAGCTAAAGCAACCCTAAGAAAAAAGAACAAGGCTGGAAGTATCACATTGATTTTAATTTGTACCACAAAGTGACACTAATCAAAATGGCATGGTATGGGCAGAACAGACACACAGACCAATGGACTGGAACTGAGAACGCAGAAATAAACCCACATATATACGGACAGATAATTTTCAACAAAGGTGCCAAAAACACACAATGGAGAAAAGAAAGCCTCCTCAAAAAATGGTGCTGGAAAACTTGGAAAGCCATGTGCTAAAGAATGAAACTAGACTGCTGTCACCATACACCAAAATTAGCTCAAAATGGATCAAATATAAGACCTGAAACAATAAATTGCATAGAAAAAAGCACAGGTAGTAGACTTATGGATCTTGGGTTCAGAGGGAGGATTTTTATGAATTTTACCTCAAAGGCAAGGGAAATAAAACTAAAATAAATGAATGGGGTTATATCAAGCTAAAAGCTTCTGCACAACAAAAGACACCATCGACAAAATAAAGAGACAACCAACCGAATAGGAGGAGATGCTTGCAAGCAACACCTCCAATAAGGGACTACTACCCAAAATATATAAAGAACTCATACAATTCAACAACAAAAATACAAAATAACAATCCAATTAATAAATGGGCAGAGAATCTGAAAAGACACTTCTCCCAAGAAGACATACAAATGGCCACCAGATATATTAAAAAAAAAAAAAAAAAAGCTCAACTTCACCAGCTATTAGGGAAATGCAAGTCAAAACCACAATGAGATACCACCTCACACCTGTTAAAATGGCTATTATCAACAAGACGAGTAATAATCAGTGTTGGAGATGCTGTGGAGAAAAACCCTCATACACTGTTGGTGGGAACGCAGATTGGTGCAGCCACTATGGAAGGCAGTGTGGAGGTTCCTCAAAAATCTACGAATAGAATTACCATGTGACCCAGCAATCCCTTTTCTGAGTATCTACCTAAAAAATCTGAAAACATTTATCTGTAGATATGTGTACCCCTATGTTTACTGCAGCATTATTCATGGTGGCCAAGACATGGAAACAACCAAAGTGTCCTTCGATAAATGATTGGATAAAGAAGGTGTGATACACACACACACACACACACACACACACACACACACACACACACACACACAATGGAATATTACTTGGGCATGAAAAAATGAAATATTGCCATTTGTGACAACATGGATGGATCTTGAGATTATCATGCTAAGTAAATAAGTCAGACAGAAAAAGTAGAGAACCATATGATTTTACTCATATGTGGGATATAAAACTGAAAGCAACAAATAACAAGACAAACAAACAAAGAAACAAAAACTCAACAGACACAGACAACAGTTTAGTGGTTACCAGAGGGTAAGGCAGGAGGAGGGATGGTAGATGAGGGTAAAGGGGATCAAATATATGTTGATGGAAGGAGAATGACTCCAGTGGTGAACACACAATGCAATATGTGTATATAGATGATATATTATAGAAATGTATAGTTGAAACCTATATAATGTTACTAACCAATGCTGCCTCAATAAATTCAATAAAAATTAAAAAAAAAAAAGAAATGGGATATGAGGGGAAATTTTCAATTAATAGATTTCTGTAGTGTTTAAGTGGTTTACAACAAGAAAAAAATTATATATTTCTTGTGCAACAAAAAATAAAAACATCAAACCCTTAATTTATTAAAAATAAAAAAAAATAAAAGGAAAGATCTCTGCAAGAAGATCTATAATAAAGATTTTCTTTTGGCATGGTATGCTACTGTTTATGTTTATTTTAGCAAAGCAATGTGAATGAGAGCTATTGGTTGGCTAGCACAAAGAACTTAATTAAACAGAACTGAATAAAATCTGTTAGGGTAAAAATTATTAAGTGAAATTGTACTTTATTTTTTCAATTTACTTGTCGAGGACTTGCCTCTTGATTCATGAAGTTAAATTGATCAACATTTACCTTCGAGGATGATTGGCATCAAACAATGTGTTATCATCCTCCTCATCATCCTGTTCTAAAGGTGTCAGCTCCATGTTTTCTATGTTAGTGTCCAAAACTCCGTATCTCCTAGTCTTCCGGTTTCGTCTTCGCATCCTATTAAACAGAACATATTAATGAATAAAATTTATTTCAATATAGTACAGTTGATCCTTATTTTATACTTACTTGTAAATTAAAAATAAATTATCCTCTGTTTCAGACAAAGGAGACTCTCAATATTAGAATGGTTACATTTCAGAAATGCAGCCTATGTTATCTGTGACACAATACCTACTCCCTACAAGTCTGTGTGCCATCACCATTTCTTCTGTCTGACATGCCCTCTTCTGTCTCTGTCAAGCCATGGTGTCTATAGATACTCCTGTATGCCTAGGTCAGGTACTGTATTTTTACTGAAGCCTTCTATTCCACCTTTCCCCCCACCCCTTCCATGCATTCTTACCACAGTGCAGGATTAGATAGTTTCCGCCCCACTAAGAAACGGTATGTATGTACATACTCAAGATTCTAGACTGGATAGCTTACAACCCAGGCTGCACATCAGAATCACCTAGGGTATTTTAAAAAGCTCTACATTCAGGCCATGCGTCTACACAATTAAATCAGAATTTCTAGGTGCAGGAATTAGGCATCAATATTTTGTTAAAGTTCTACAAGTGATTCCAAAATACTGAGAACTATTATCCTAGATCAGTGGTTCTTGAAGTGTGATTCCCAGGATCAGCAGAATCACAAATATCTGACTTACTAGAAATACAAATCTTCATGCCCATTGAGACCTAGTGAGTAAGAAACTTTGAACTTGGGGCCTAAAACCCCACATTTTAACATAAACACTCCATGTGAGTTTGATGCAGGGGGAAGTTCAAGAACTACTTCCCTGGAGGAATGAAAATATTTTAGGATTCTAAATATTAATTATGTGTGTGTCTGTGGAAGGACTTAGAGCCCTACTATCTGCTTCTTTCACAAATAACTTCTTTTCCTTCAAATTATTTACTTCATTTTGCATTTATATGTGCTTATGTATATGACTGAGTGTGATTGTTTATTTGCCAGTCTTTCCCACTAAATTCCATGAGGGCAGCAGCCATGACTGCCTTGTTCACCACTGCATTACTACTTAATGAACCAGCGCAGTGTTTGGTCCATTAAGATGCTCCTTAAATGTTTGTTGAGCTTCTGAGTGATACCATACTCTAGCTCAGTGATCCAAATCTGACCCTGCAATCAAGGCCTAAGTCATCTCCAATGCAACAACCTTGACTCCACTTACAGGAAAATATTTCACACAAGTATCTACAGCAGTTTAAAAACAAAACAGAAGATACTTCAGCAAGTAATGAAAAATAAGTTTACTGAAGTTCTGATTCTCTTTGATGTAATAAGTCTGATAAGAAATACTGTGACGGACCTGCCGAGTGGTGCCACGTTCTTTAAGAATAGGCTTAGGACGCCAGCTCTAAGCAGCAGGACCCCGGTTCAGATCCCACATGAGGGACAGTGACGCTGCGCCCTCTACAGCTAAGATCGTGAACAACAGCTGGACCTGGAGCTGGGCTGCCATGAGTCGCCGGCTATGGCATAGGCTGCAGTGGAGCTGGCCGGCAACTGGTGTGAGCTTTCGTGAGCTGCTGTGAGCCTCCGTGAGCGGCTGTCCAATGGTTGGGGAGCGACTGCCTCACCCGGGAAGAGCACAATGATAATAACAACATGGGCCAGTGGAGCGACATCCACCACAACCACAACTAGACTGAAGAAGAAAAGGACAGCAACTTGTCTGTTCCCCTTCCCCAATTCCCCAACGCTGTTCTCCTCCCCCAATTCCCCAATAAAATCTTAAAAAAAAAGAAATACTGTGACTACAACATCAACTGCAAAGAACACTACAAGCTTCTGCAAATGACAGTGGGGACTCCTGACAGACAAACTGTCCTACACATACATACATACATACACATATACGAACATGCACTCAAGAAGTATCAGAGTATTACTGAGCATCTGGCATTGTGCTCGCTTCTCTGTGTAAAGTACCTGGTCTCAGTGATCAAAATTTAAAAAAATATGACTAAGCCTAGGCAAAAACCAAGATAATTTCCTCTAACCACTGCCTCTAGATCTAGCTATATGCCCATTCAAAGGGTGCTAGAACAGAAAGCAGAGGTTTAATAGTACAGTACTTAAAACTACAAATGTAACAAAAGGAAGTGTTAATATTAACTTAAGAATTAGCAATATACGGAAGACTGGTGGAGTATGAAGTATAGGCTAGTCTTTTTTATACAGTGAAAAATTAAATATATTCAGGTTGTTAAATTAACAACTATGTATATATGTGTGCATGTTTGAACATATGGGCATGTACTCATTCTCTCTCTCTCTCTCTCTCTCTCTCTCTCTCTCTCTCTCTCTCTCTCTCTCTCTTTGCCAAAGGTTGAAACGTTTTCTGTAAAAGACCAGGTAGTAAATATTTTAGACTCTGAAGATCATATATGGTTTCTGCACATATTCATCTTAATTTCTTTTTTGTTTTGATTTTTAACAACCCTAAAAAAACAATTCTTGGCTCACTGGCCTTAAAAAGCTGGTCAGCGGACTGGATGTGCCCTATATGTCATAGTTAGCCAACCTCTGATTTAGACTTATGAAAGTAATTAACAGAAAAACTAATAACAGAAATGATAAAAGTACCAACTCTGGAAGTAGAAATAAAAAAAACATATAGGGTTATTACAGTTCAATATTGGTCCTTTTGAACCACATGATTTAATAACATTTGCATGTATGCTTTTGATTTTAAAAAGTTAATACACAAGAGTAAGGGAAGCAACTTGGTAGCTTCCCTCTATAACGGAATTAGTTAAGGATATTCAGCTATAATTTCTCCTCTTCCTTTTTGCCAGTATTGCTCAATTTTCTAAATCATGTGGCTTTCCAAACATTAATTTTCAGTCAACAAAGAAGAAAGTAATGTCATGGGAAATTATTTTTGAAAATAAACTAGATTCTTCCAGGTTATATATATTATATATCCAATAGTCAATATATTACAAACCTGGTCATTGCTGGTCATGGTCTTAAAAATGGGAATAATAGAAACATAGAGCTTAAGGATTTTTAAAATTGATCTCAGCTGCTGTTCTTCTCCACTCTAAAGGTCTTCATCATACAAATGGATTTCCAACCTTTAATGACTGGCTGGATACACAAATAACACTATTTTCTCTATCTGGGTACAGTGTAAACATTTGACTGGATTTTGTGAGTACTTGGTTATTTATGTAGGCTTATATTGTCCTTTAATTATATAATTATATAACGAAAAACAGAAAAAATACATCATGATTTTTCCGACAACCCAATAGATGCAGATTCCTCAGTGTTCTATTACACTCAGGTTGGTAAAAAATATTTCTATTTTAATAACACGTAAAAGCTACAGCAGAAAAATAAAACTAAAGTACTAAAGTAAGCTTGATAAAATTTTATGTAAAAAGGTAGGATACCACATAAAATAACCACAACAGAATAAAACTCCATTTTATTTTACTACTCTATGAAAGGGAGAAAACCGACCCAGGTAACTTGTTATAATTTGCTCTACACCAGTCTGATTTTATTCTTTCTGATTTCTTTTAACTAAATGTCTGTAGAGCAGTATTAACTATAGAATGACATAAGTAATATTATTCCTTAATTTCTTCTATAGCACATTCAAAACTACACTAAGGAATGCATCATTTACTGTATATTTTATACACATACACTCCCCTATGTGATTAGAGATAATGATAAAGCAGAGTAAATCTTAATAAATAAAGGTACAACTATTGATACAGACTTTTTTGTTGTAACTATTTTTGGCAAAAAAGTGAATTAGTAACCAAGAATGATTTTGAAACTATTTTTTTTTTGCCATTGTGACATAAGGAAATAAAAATTAGTGAGCCACAATTTTGGTTGTCTATGATTTTCATCATGAAATCCAACCCAATTAGATATATAACATACAATAAAAATCATTTCTCTTATCTTCATCTCCCATTCCCAAAATCTAATCCATCGGTTGTCACTTCAAATTCTTCAAGAAACCGGTAAGAGAAAAGAATATGTTATAAATTGAATTGTGTCCCCTCCCAAATTCACATGTTGAAATCTTAATCCCTAGCTCATCAGCATATTTGAAGATAGGTTCTTCAGAGAGTGAGTGGAGTTAAAATGAAGTTGCAATCACAAAATCCTATTGATTGTACTTTCTGAGAATCACTGTACCTCACTAATAGTGCCACCACTGCTATCAATTGCCTTGACTATTAAAATATCTTCCTGCTTGTCTTCCTCCATCTATTCTGGTCACCCACGAACTTCCCCTCCATTCTCTAAAATCTCCAATGGCTTCCTACTGCTCAGCAGGAATCATGAAGCAATGACTCCGTAATATGGCCTACAAAGTTAACACAGGATGGCTCCTCCTCACCTCTCTAGCCTCACCTTGCTCTCCGCTCTACACTCTACTTCACTTTCAGCACTCCAGCCACAAAGCCTTCTCTGGGTCCCTTATAATGGCTATGCTTTCTCTGTCACTGGCCTCACACTCTTCCCCACCCACCACGACACTGTTGTTAATGTCTATTCATCTTTCAGCTCCAGCTCAAGTATCACCTCCTTAGGGGAGCCTTCCTTGATCAACCCAGCTCAGTCACAAACACCTATTACTGGCTTCAATGGAACTCAAGCTGTGTCACTATCTCAACTTTGATCAAGTGCAGCACTGAACAGGAGATTGCCCCAACAAGGTATCCTGCCACTGCTCACCTACAGTAAAACATCACTGCTAACACCCAAACGTTAAAAAAGATCAAATGCACGTTCATCTGTGTTTAGAACGTCTAAATCTTGCTTTCTCTGATAGCCTTTATTCGCCCAGCTCCTTGTAGTTTAGTACATACAACCAGTTCTTGTGCTTAGATTTGGCTCCCACTGGATGATATTGAGGTGGCTATGCGCAGGTAAAGTAAATCCTAAGGAAGTATCACAGGGCTTGGCTATGAAGTGTCCTATATGAAAGTGAATACATGGCACATAGCTCC